ATACATTTATTTACTATTTTTATATATTTGTTTCGTTTTGTTTATGAACCTCTATAAAATAAATATTTTCGTAAATCTATTAGGCATTTTAATTTATATGTAAGGAATGTAAACCTTAACGTTATTATCCGCTTTTGCATCCTTAATTCAAATTTATTTTATCTAAAGTTTTGGGACTTTACAGTATAAGTAAATATCACAGATGATTTTTTTTTTAGTAAAATTCTAATTAATATATAAATTAAATATTTCAAACGATAGATCGTGGACCAATTCTTACTTTACTCCTCTATTTGTAATATTACAATCAAGACAAAAATTTTGTTGCTTACAATTTGATATTTGAAATTATGAAGTTATTTCAACTTGTAATATTCAAAATTTGACTATAAATTAAATTTAATAAAGAAAATTTGTATTTTATAGTCATAAATAAAAATATTATATTTATATGAGATTTCAGTAAAAAATCAAATTTAAAATTAATTTTGTAAGTTTAGAAAGTAAATTGTAACCGAAAACAATTTAGGATTAGGTTACAATAAATCTTAGTTCAAAAATTAAATTTTAATAATAAAAATATATTATTTTACTTAAAAAATAAAAATATTTCAAATATTATTGTCACAAAATAACAAATTAATAAGTAAATCCAAACAAAAGTAAATAAATAAATAAAAGCTCATGAACTTAAAGCCGTTTGGAAAAGAGAAAAGCCCATTTAGTCTTTTCCTTCAAATTTTCAGATCGTGCCCTAGTCCTCCTCCGCTCTCTCTCACTCTCGCCTTCCCACCCTTTTCCAGTTCTCCCCCTTGACGCAAACGCCGATTCAGACGACAAACCAGACGTCGGGAAGACGACAGGAGAGTCGCAGACGCTAGGCTCGTCAACCGCTCGCCTCCAAGCTGGGTCCCCCTCCCTTTTTCTCTTTTGTTGTTACTTTGTATGTCTTTTCCCTCCTTTAAATTTTCTTCTTTGTGTTCTATTGTTTCCAAATTTTGTTTGTGTTACATTTTTTTTATTTGGTTTTCCACATTTCGGAATGGCAGCACTACACGCTATATAAATAAACTTTGTTTATTACAAAGTGGTAAAAAATGGAGAAATAACGTAAAAGAAACTCGGGAGTGATGATTTCTCATTTGTGAGATTTAGACCAGAAAAAAATCCTTAACCCGAACTTAACCTTTATTATAGATCATAGTTAAATTAGTTTTAATGCTGTTAATTTGGTTCGATATGTCTAGTTAAATTTTTTTATTCATTGAAATGGAGGCTTCGCGACTACTTTAAGTGAATTAGTGATAGTAAGTCATTTGTATCTTTAGTTTATTGGATTTGTAAAATTATTGTTGGTGAACGTTAGGGCCATGTTTGGTTTAAGATGGCAAACCCATAATATGGACATAGGAAGACAATAAAAATGAAACAAAAGTTGGAATGCAAATAATATTCTAATCTTGTGTTCAATTCAAGTTAACAGGGTGTTATTTCTTAAATCAAGTAATTGTTGTTGGAACAGAATGAGTCAACTGGGCATAAAAATAGTTTGAATTACACATTTTTTTATTCATATCATTTCTTGTTTTGATTGAGGATCTCCTCCCAAATACCTGTCCTGCTTACAGTGTATCACTAGATTGTTGGAGTGATGTTTGGTTTGGGTGTCAGGGAAGCCCCGACCTAGCCTATCAATCCTTATCTGTGGGTTTTATTTTATCTCATTTAGTCCTAGCTGATTTCCCTTATTATTTCCCAACTTCTTTGTCACTGTCTCTATACCGTCTGGTGATTCTTTTTTAGTTATTCTGTCTTTTTGTAGATGAAACTGTTCTATCTGTTTTACATGCACTATTGTTGCTCACATGTAATTTTTGAATCTGACCTCTGGTTTATCTCTCCTCTTTTCTACACTTTAGAGACGTCAGATTCCCCAACTGCATGCAAAGCTTTGGATTTGAAGATACAAAATATTAGGTGAATGGAGGGGCTGGAGGGTCTGCAGCAGTGGAGGATTCAAGCAGAAGAATGGCTGCGGCATTGGAGGATTCAAGCAGAAGAATGGCTGCATCATGGAATTGTGTATATTCATCAAATACCCCCAACTCAGCTCTATGCTGCCATTGCTGTTTTACTACTAACAACCCTTATGCTCTTATCCAGTAAGTCTCCATGATTAATATAGGGGCAAGAAAAGAAACAACATTTTTTTATTCATGTTTCTTGTTGAATTGAGTTGCATTGAATTATTATTATGTCTCTGAGGAAATGCCTTTGTTAAAAAATTCAAGGGTTCACATTGATGTTTCAACCATTTATAGTTCGAGATATAACCTTTGCACATTGTGACAGTGCAT